ACCAAAACGGTTCGCAATGTGTTGCATTGGAATGATTTTCGTTGTCGATTTATTATGCTATTTATAAGCTCTGGAAACAAAGCAAAGCAGTTAAAATTTGCTAAAGAATACTTATCAAAAAATGAGACATTTTCTTTTTCCTTTTTATTGGCGTTGGTAGCGCTTACGCGATTATAGCTGAATCAATCGTAGCGCGCCATTCCTCTCTTCTTTAAGCTGCCTGGCGCCAGTTGGAAACACCAAGAGAAGTCAGGTCACTTTCCACCTGATCCTTCTAATGGAGCGGAAGTCTTCCTCTTCCTCCGCTTTCACCAAAGCTGGAGCGCTTTCATCCATTCGGACGTCATAACCTTGCTAGCGCAGCCGCCCCTACTCAGGCCAAATTAGCACCCGTTTTTTCAAGAGCGATTCTGCGTTGGATTTCAAGATTGACATTATTATTGGTGTCAGCGCTGGCCCTAGATAGACGAAATTATTTACGATCTCGAAGTTATGACTGCCAACAGTGACGTGAGAGCCGAGTGGCGAGAGCGATGACTGTTTGTTTGATGACAGAAGATATTTCATCTTGCCCTGATTACCAGACCCATTCGCTTCGCTTCTTCCTCAAGCCTGGAGAAAGCGCGGTGGTTGAAGCTAATAATGTCGATATAATCGGCGTACGTCAGCAACTGTACACTCTTGTAGAAGATTGTACCTTCTCTATTTAGCTCTAAGCCCCGAAAGAAGTTTTAATGCTTACTGTCTAAGTAGTATATTTTTGTGTTCTTTAATATTTTTCATAAGTATTTATATCTATTTATTCAAAAAAATTGTCCCTTAAATTGTGAATTGAAGACTCAAACTAATATATTTTGAACGAAATTAAATCGTCTGTGGGCTTGGGTTCTGGTTCTTTCGAAGGCAAATCTAGTTTGCACACTTAATTAATTAAAAAAAAATTAAAATTATTAAATTAAAAAAAAAAACTGACTTACTTCAAAATTAGTTTTTTAGCAGATTGGATACGGCAACTCACTTTTTTAACTCCCAGCTGACGGTTGGGCCTGGATCTTGTAGTTTGAACTGGCAACAAAACTTAATCGAGGCCCAAAGATAATAGATAAGTGAGTAAGTTTGATATCATATTATCTTTGATAAGGAATCGCCCTGTCTGAAACCTCACTTGGTATCGAACGGCTCCCGATCCTGACGGAGCTTTTAGTGCTGCTTAAGGTCAGTTTACACAGCCGTATAAGTTTTGCGAGGATACCAACTTCAGGCTTCGAAGGCTGCTTTAAACTCGACGAGAAGATGGTGAGTATCGATCCTCTTTTCACGGGTCTTTTCCAAGATTTGGCGCATGGCGAATATCTGGTCAATGGTTGACTTACCAGGTCTGAAGCCGCACTGATAGAACCTTATATGCGATGTTATGAAGGCTTATATCACGGTAGTTGGCGCAGGCTGTGGCGTCGCCCTTTTTCGTGTATTGGACAGACCACACTTAAATTCCAATCGTCGGGCACGCTTTCATCCGACCATATTTTGCCAAGAAACTGATGTATGCACCTGATCAGCTCTTCACCGCCGTATTTAAATAGCTCTGTCGGTAATCCATCGGTTCCCGCTGCTTGGTTGTTTTTCAGGCGGACGAATACTATTCGGGCTTCTTCATAAACGGGTAACGGAACAACCTTTCCATCATCATCAATTGGAGTTCCGGGTTCACCTTCTCAGGGTGTTTTAATTTCACTGCCATTCAGCGGGCTGGAGAAGTATTCCCTCCATAAGTTCAGTATACTCTGGGCATCCGTCACTAGCTCACCCCTCTGCATCCTACAAGAATTTGCTCCGGTCTTGAAACCTTCCGTAAGTCGCAAATGCGTCTTGCTTCACTCGGTATCTATCCCACCCCACACGTGTTGTGGTCGATCGCAGGTAGGTAGGATCGCGAGGTAGGCTGTCCGTGTTCTCTCCACTGCGACAAGGCAGTCCTCATCGTACTAGCTGTTTTTGCTATCTTTTCGAAATCCAATAGTTTCGTTTGCAGCTGTACGTAGGAAGTTTGCCATTCTGTCCCACAGTTCCCCTATGCCGGGTTGTTAATGAGTGCTCTCAGAGAGCAGGTGTGCAAGTCCAGCAGAAAACCGCTCGGCAGTCTGATGTGATTGCACCTTCCTTGTGCTTGTTGATGAGCGTTCTTCGATTCACAGGGGCGCGTTCGTATCTTCGCTGCGACAAGATAGTGATCCGGACATCTAAAACACTGGATACATGTCTTCCGTCATGATCGATCTGGTTTTGTGTTTTTCGACCATGGGACAGCCAAGTAGCTTGATGTACTTTTTTGTGTCTAGTGCTACAGACAACCATATTTCGGGCCCCGGCGAAGTCGATCAGCCCCAGCCCATTTGAAGATTTTCGTTGTGGAGGCTAAATTTTCCGACTGTTGTCCCAAAAATACCTTCTTTGCCCACCCTAGCGTTGAAGTCGCCAAGCACAATTTTGACGTCGTGGCGGAGGCAGCGCTCGTTAGTGTTTTTGAGGCACTCGTAAAAGGCTGGCGAGACGTTCGTCCAACAGAGTGAATTCCAGTACTCGGCGACGGAGTCTCACTCCCACCACAAATCCGACACCTAATTTGCGCTTCTTTATATTGCCACTGTAGAAAATTTCACAAGGACCCACGTTCTTCCGTCCTTGTCCCGCCCATCACATTTCTTGGACGGCGGTGATGTCAGCATTTAATTTTATGAGGGCATCAACCAGCTGGGCACCGGCACCTTCGCAATTAAGGGGCCGGATATTCCAGATGCACGCCCTAAAATCGTAACCCTTAAAACATTTGCGGAGGACGTCATCAAAAGAGGGGTCTCTCATCCGTGGCTGATTAAAATTTTTCGTTGGATTTTGTTTATCCATGTGGTAGGTCCCAAACCCTATGCACAGCCGCCTTCTCACTTTACCTTGTCTCCAAACTGATGTGTGTTGGCTACTCAGAAGATGCTTGGGCTAAGACTGTGAGTCGTGATCTGCTTGAACCATATGCAAAAGAATCGTAAGACAGTTTGGGATACGGTAAAGCAATTTAACGTTAACTAAAGGAAATATGAACAAATTTTCGGGTCTCAATATATTAAAGTCAAATTTTAAGCAAAGTGCAACGAAATTGTGTATCGAAGGCAAGTTTTTTCTTTACCAAGACAACGATCTTAAGCATACTTCCGAAGTTGAGAAGCTCTGGTTAATTCTCAACTGTCTTAAATTTTTGCAACCACCTCCACAACCACCAGACTTAAATGCCAATTAATGGTTGCCATGGTTGACAAAGCGCCGTGTCTCGTTTTGCGTTTGAGTCACTGTATGTTAAATGGTGGCAGCACCCCTCTACATGACCAACAGGATGAAGAGTTGTCAAGTCATAAATGAGAAAAGAGTCGACGTTGAACACAACGAAAGAAGCGCGTGATTAAATATAAAGTTGAACGAAGCAGAGAACTTAAAATAACGAGAAGGTGCAATTGACTTTTTGTTCGATGCTCGATTGAAGTTTCTACAGAGCTAGAAAATCTCGGGAAAGGGATTCACCACTCTGTTAAAATTTGGCTGTAAACTAACAGTTTTGATAGTTTAGCATAAAGAAAAACTGTTATTAACGACAACAGAAATAAAACCAATAGAAATATAATAAATTCAATGAAAATCAATTGATTCATTAATTTTTTTCTTCTTCGTATGGTGTTTTGCTATTATTTAGTTAAAAAAAAATAAAAAAAAAGAAAGTACTAATATTTAAAAAAACGAAAATATATTATATAAATTAAATTTTTTTATTTTTGTTCATTACATTATGATTTTTTATTATTACAAAACAAATTAAATGAATAAAAATTAATTATTTGGAATAAATGATATTGGCTAATTCGATAGGAATTTGAACTTGCGTCAGAAGCAAAAATGCCAAAAATGTAAGTAGCTCTGCGCGCTACTAACTGCGCCACATCACAATATACAGCTTTGTTGGCACTTATACCGAAGCAAAGAAATAGAACATTAGGTTTCTTCTTCTTGTTAAGTTAAATGTACGAAAGAATCAGTTCTCCCCACGAGCGCACTTTGTCCACAATCGACTTCGCGGATTTGCACAGTGCGCGCGCGTGCATGCGAACAATGCGTACATTACTTCAAAGGATTATGCTCATTAGTTTATGTTATTGAAAGGTGTAGTTTTGCCAAATTATACTGCATTTTTGATTGATTTGATATTTCCAACCTCTTTTAGATCTGAATTCAAATTATATTTATTAAAATCTTATGGTTTGAGGGCATTTAGGGAACATTACTTTTTGAATTGCAATACATTTGTTCGCCTTATCGAGAGTATGTTTGTGCGTAACGGGTACAGAAAATTCTTCGATTCTTAAAATACGTTCCTACCTACATATATTTACTTATAAATAAATGGAACTAATTTAATTCTCAATGTTTAACATAAAAACGTATACATAAGCAGCTAAGTACGGCATTCTAAGCAAATTGAGTATTTTTTTTCACGCAGTTTGGGTGCCAGTCCTTCAATGGGTCTCGTCTTCGCTTTCGACCAGTTCCTTAATGGGCAGTGTCTATGCTAAGCGGTTAGATTTGACTAAATACTTGCGGCTTCTCGCTTAATTAACAATGTCTGCTAGTAAATTAAGGTCGTTGGCTTCATCAAAAGCTCAATTCTTAAAGTTTAGTAGTTTAGCCGCTTCACAAAAAGTTCTCACATTATGTTGAACAGAGTTGACAAAAGCTTGTATAAATGAATGTAGGCAGATTTTAATTTCAAAAAATGTGAAGTCTTTGTTGTATCATCCTCCGTCCTTGTTCCTTATTTTTAAGAGAGCATTAGAGCGCTGGGAAGATGTATCTTCCAACTACATAACTTCAATTTAGATGTGGGATTTCTCCTATTCTCGTTAAGTGTTTATTCATAAATCAGTACCAAGATAAAGGAAAATATTCAAACAGAAAAAGGCTTCTAAAATTATAATTCGTTTATGGTCAATTAGTGCAAGTTTATTGTACAAAATTTAAAATTAAAAATATATACAAATATACATGCGCACGTCAGACAGTAAATTTAAAGCGAAACATATTCAACTTTTTTATACGTCATTACGAAGTTGTTTTCCATTTGGACAAATTTACTTGAGGAAGAGTTTGGCAGTCTCTCAGTACGTTCCTAGGAAGAAAACAATTTAATGACTTGGTACATTTAATTTATGAGCTGTGTGTAATATTTACCTTATGTTTGGGAAAATGAATGCATTAGTCTGTATATCTCGTAGGAAGTCAGCATTGTTACAAAATAGTTGTGATAAACTAGCCTTACGTATTTCAGCCAATTGGGCTACAAAGGTACATGTGTAATAAAATATATGCATATGTAAAATATTAGCAAAGTTTCACCTTTCGTAAGTCCACTGACTGGATGGAAATTCTCAAAGAAGAAACGATCACCAGTACGTGCTCTAAGAAATTGCCGTCCTATTATACATTGGAATGTGGGTCCGAGAATCGATTCGGGCGAGTGGGCCTCTAATGAACCTCCAATAGATAAATCTACATCTTCATGGGATGCGTATATCTTCTGCATTAGTGATATTTTCTAGAATGTTATAAATAAATTATAGGCATTGATAGAAACATATTTAACTACATATATATGTTCTTTTTTCAACTGTGTGTGTATATTTATGTATTTAATATATTTTCGAAGTACAAAATATTATATTATGCTTCAAGTTATGTTTTTTAATATCATGTATATAGAGGCGGCTTAGTATAAAATGTAGGTCCCTCCATTTGTTGGAAAAACATCAAGTCGCGACACCACAAATTGGAGGAGGAGCTCGGCCGAAAATCGCTTCAGCGGCTCCAAAGCGCCAATTATATATAATATAAATATTGCTTTTAATTTTTCAGAAAATGTCAATAGGAATCACTGATACATATTGTCCTAAAATTGATCCAACTTCGCCATTAACATTAATTTTAATTGTTCTTCTCTGGAAAACTTGCTTTTATATTTATATATTTTATATATAGCAAGTTTTCCAGAGAAAAACAATAAAAATTAATGTTAATGGCGAAGTTAGATCAATTTTAGGACAATATGTATGAGTGGTGCCTATTGTCATTTTCTGAAAAATTAAAAGCAATTTCTTTTTTACGGAAAGACTGCAATCGCAAAAATCGATATTGATTGTGGAATTTCAGTTACCGCAAAATACCCAACGAACAAAAAGATGTCATTTCGTTTTTCTAGCATAAAAAATAAACTTAAATAAATGATTTTGTTTCGTTTCTTGTCAAGTTTTCGCAACGAATTGAATTTGTTATTGATGTTGAAATCGCAAAAACTCGGCGTTAATCTTAATTCAATCAAATGGCTGATTGCAGTTCAATTTCAACGTTTAATAATATCTGTTTACGATTTAACATTCAGGTAAAAGGGATAGTCAAACAACCGACATTTACAGGCCTATTCTGCCGAGGTAACAAAATTTACCTAGGTATTAAAATTAACCATTGAGTAAATTTTGTTACTATTTCGTATTCTCTGCTCACTGTTACCCTGTAAATTTTGTTACCAGTGAAATAGGAGGTAACAAAAATATTTGCTGTTTGATTTTGTGTTGTAAATTTGAGAAAAAATAAAAAACCAAAATGGGTAGGCATATTTTAGGCCTGGAATTCACTGAAGATGAAGAAAAAATGTAAAAAGGTGTATGTTAAGAAGTTTGCGAGAAACAAATGACCCTTTGAATTTGGAAGATAGCGTTGAAAGTTGAATTTTTTTGTCGCTTAGGCATATTTTCTATAATTAGGTTCAAATATTTAAGATTTAATAGACACATAAATAAAACTTATTTATTTTGAAATGAACCGTCTTCTATTTCGATGTGAATATTGTATATATATATATATATATATATATTAGAATAATATTTTTCTATTTACTAAAGCAGCTGGCAAATATAATTTGACAATGCCGAAAAAAGCAGTGCTGTCCAAGTTTTTTTAAACATTGTAACCAGTTCGCCAGAAAACCAAAAAAAAAAAAAGTAACAAAATTTACTTTACCAGTAACAGTGAGAATAGGCCTGTAAAAGGAAGCGTTTTTTATACATTTAAGCAAATCAAAATATGTACGAGGTGTGTTCAAAAAATATCGCGAATTTTGTGTTTTTTAAAAATTATTTATTTATTCATGAATTTCTATTTTGTCCCCTTCAAAATAATCCCCATGAGATATTATACACTTGTGCCAACGGTTTTTCCAATCTTTGAAGCACTTCAAAAAATCATTTTTTTATCTTATTCAGCTCTTCCTTCGATGCCGTTTTATCTCGTCAATCGTAGCGTAACGTCGTCCTTTCATGGGTTTCTTCAGTTTAGGAAACAAGAAAAAGTCACAGGGGGCCAGATCTGGGAAATACGGTGGCTGCGGCATCCTTAGTGTGTTGTTTTTAGCCAAAAAGTCGCGCACAAACAACGATGTGTGAACAGGGGCGTTATCGTGGTGCAAAAGCCAATTTTTATTCTTCCACAAATCCGGACGTTTCTGGCGTATTGCTTAGCGCAAATTGCGCATAACTTACAGGTAATATTCCTTATTGACCGTTCTACCCTGTAGCAAGAACTCATGATGCACCACGCCCCCGCATTTAATTTTTTCGTCTGTTGTTGAAGTGCTCGGGCGTCCGGCGCGCTCTTCGTCGTTCACATCTCCTCGGCCTTCTGAGAACATTTTGTACCACCGATAAACCTTGCTTCGGTCCAAGGTAACTTCTCCGTATGCCACAGTCAACATTCGTAATGCATCCGCGAACTTAATTTTGTTTTTCACACAAAATGTGATACAGGTTCTTTGATCCATTTTTTTGAATAGGTAAAAGTCGAAGACCATCCAAAACACGTGCAAGCAAAGCAGCTGTCAACAATTAAGTGAACATTCAAAATGGCCGAGCTTGTCGGCATAAGTGACAGGCATGAGTACCAACATAACGCCACAAAAAAAATCGAAATTCGATTATACGTAACACGCAGAAATTCAAAATTCGCGATACTTTTTGAACACACCTCGTATATCAATATTATATCTATACATATATACATATATAATACATACACTGAGAACTATTATATGTTGGTATGACAGTGTTGTGCTACATTTTATATTAATTGTAAACATCACCTTGGATTCGTAACGAAGTCATTTACAAATGCTTATTAATGACAGCTCACATAATAATAAAATATGAAAGTGTAATCATTTCATTACAAAACGTTATTACTAGAAAGTAATTACGAAGGCTATTTCACCGAACCGTTATATCAAGACCTCTACCATATTCCTTGTTTTATGATTTAACGAAAGATTTTTACATATCTACGTACATATATCAACATTAAATTCGTCACGGGATTTTGACAAATTTTTATAAAGCTTAATAGTGTAACGTTAATACAAACATACTTAATTATATTGCATATATGGTTAAAATACATATACATACTCGTATATACGTACGAGTACACATTTCTACATACTTCTTGCGATATTTCGTTTAGAAATCCTGTCCAATCCTCCGCTCTGGGCAGTCCGCAATATACTCGCATATCATTATATGAAGGTAATCCATAGTCTCGACCCCGCTGTATATCAATCGATTTCAGGTCTGAGCCATATTCTTCGAAGCTCTTTCGATCAAAATAATGTTTTATCTACAAAAATAAATATAATTTTTTTATGCAAGTTCAATATCGTTCATTATGTAATTTAAAAACAAAACTTCGTATACAAATGAACGCACGTGTATGTACGAATAATAAATTTGAAAAGCTTGAGTTTATATCATACGAAAATTCTATCAGCAAGTTGAAAGCTAACAATCTCCAACTGACTTAAGTCTATAAGGTGTACAACTTTGCTTCCGCCGTAGCTGTACCGGCTGAGGCTGGTTGAAATACATAGATGATAATGCCTTTAAAGTGAGTGTGGACAGTGCCTAACGAATTGTCATCGCCGTTTCAGTGACAGTTGTTCTTGTTTTCGGATTATTCACGCTCGAAAATATCCGTTTATGTGCCTAATTCTCGCCATTTGCGGGAAGTTTTACTTTACTGTTACAATTCGAAAAAAATGCAGCTGAAGTGCATCAAATGCTCTCAGAAACTTACGGTGATGCTGCTCTGAGTGAAAGAACGTGTCGAGAGTGGTTTCAACGTTTTAAAAATGGCGATTTCGATGTCGAAGATAAACATGGTGGTGGAAGAGAAATTTGGTGGGATCAGCTCGGTGTGATTTACTACGAGCTCTTAAAACTGGGTGAAACCATCACAGGAGATCGCTACCGAATGCAACTCATGCGCCTTAGTCGCGCGCTAAAAGAAAAGCGGCCACAATATCAAGAGCGGCATGACAAAGTCATTCCCCAACACGACAATTCTCGGCCTCACGTCGTAAAAGTGGTCAAAAAGTACCTGGTAACGCTGAAGTCTGGCCCCACCCACCGTATTCCCCAGATGTCGCTCCTTCTGACGTCCACATATTCCGTTCAATGGCACACGGCCTGGCAGATCAACATTTTCAATCCTTCGAAGAATTGGAAAAATGGATTGCTTCATGGTTAGCTTTAAAAGAGGACTCCTTTTTTCGAGCCGGGATCCGAAAATTGCCGGAAAGATGGGAGAAAGTTGTCCCTAGCGAAAGACAATACTTTGAATAATATATCTGAAAGCACTTTTTCGCAATAAAGCTTTTAATTTTGGAAAAAACGGAGGAAGCAAAGTTGTACACCTGATAATAACTTTATGTAATAAGAGTATAAGAAATTATATAACTTGCAGTTAGAAATACCAGTTTGTATTTCTATACCAACTAATTCATCTCCATTTATTTTTTCATGTTAAGGACTGTTAAATTAAACACGTTGCCGTCCTACGGCATGTTAACTTTAGAACATGCAAATGCTCCATACCAATACCACTTTTTAGAAAAAACAAGTAAAGAAATTTTATCTTGCTTCGTGATTTGTGGTGGTCTTGTCAATTAAACAGCGATGACCTCCAACCTCTACATCGAAATTGCCTCCAATGAGCGCATAGTTTTTACCAACAAACAATAACAGTAAACTAGTTTGATCTTTTAAATACTAGTCGAGAGCTCAAATGTTAACAATCTTATCTTGTGCAGGGTGCGTACATACATACATACATACAAATGGGTATTTAAAGAACATGCCTCTTTGTCAATATTGCTGTCAGGCCGCTTTTGTAATTGTGTAGTTAAGCCGCGGATGAGTGAGTCAAAATTATCGCCGTCCCACAACAAATTCAAGTTTTCAGGACGCTCGAAATGGTTGCTTAAGCGTAGGGTTCGATTGGAGTTTCGTCCTGAAGAGACTAATCTGTTGAATATACATAAAATACAAATTGAAATGAGATACACACATATATATTTTATATTGTAGATACTGATATGGAATATAACTTGAATTGTCTGAAGCTTGAATACTTCATATTAGATGTGTTTGATTGCGTTGCGAAATCATTAAAACCCGTCACTTTTCTCTTTGTAAAAAGAAATTTCGGTAGAGCTTTCAAAAGTATCCAACGCACCAGTTTCGGATTTAATATTTACATTATAATACAATACTTAGTTGTGGCATAATTAGCACTTACGAAAACCATCCAGGTATTTGATTGTGTGAATATCGGAAAGCGGCTGCGGCAAATTCGGCATAAGGTGCAGCATTAACGGTTGGCTTGTAATCGTAAACATATTCATTTGTTGCAGTACGATGTAATATGTTATTATTGTAAGCATACGAAGGTCCAACAAGTAGTGGCAACCAATCGTAAAAAGTGATTTTTTGGTATTGCGCTATATTTATTTTCCTTGCTTCCTGGAATAGGCGCTCATCCGAATAATGAGGATTATACTTTTCTAAAATTCTAGCTATTCGATTGTGTTCGCGGACTATAATTGTGTGCAAAACAGCAATTGTGGGAATAAACTGGTTACGCATGTCTGGAAGTGTGTAGCACTGATAATTTTCCTCTCCACATTCGGAATCTGGGTCCATGGATAACGGCAGCCAATTACGATTGTTTACCAAACTTGTCTTCAGTTGGCCACTCTTGAAAACTCTAAAGTTTTTGTTTTGATTAATTGAGTTGCCATAGGCGAACGATAAGTCCAAAAATGCTGACGTCATCGTAATTTTCTCTGAGTACGTTGCACCACTTTCTCGACATGCTGTATTTGTATCAGAAGCGCTTCGCACGAAATTCAAACATTTTTTCGATAAACTCTGGGAGATCGGTCCTCTAGGATGAAGGAAAATGGGATAGCAATTGTTGCTTTCGGGCTGTTGGCAGCAGTCCTCTGAATTATGATGAAAAAATGGTGTTGTAATTTAAAAATTTGCTGGTATGAAGAATATTAGTAATTATTTCATCCACAAGATATAAATTCAAATCATACAAGAATCAAAGGATATGGATTAATGTAGCTATTAATTATGTTTAAAGTTAAAGCAAACATTTATTTTATGAGAAAGTGCTCATCTTATCGCAGAAAAATATATATTTTCACTAAAAGCTTTCATTCGAATATACTCGTACGTACATATAATACATGGGTGGTATATAATGAAATGTAGACACGTCAGGTATATTCCACATACAACCAACTAACAATTTGGACAAAAGAAAAAAATAATAACAATTAAAAAATGGCGATTTTTTTTATTATAACTGTTTTATGTTGTCGCTCTTTCACCGCTCAAAGATAATTAATAAGAGATACCTAAAATCTTGTGAATTTAATATGCTGTAAGAAAATTCTTAAATTGAAATATATAATATGTAATATATTTACAATCCATCTAAGAAGGAATTGTCTTATGAAATAAACTTTTCGTTATTCTGTATAACTTAATTTCATTACTTCAAATAATCCATTTGCTCATTTTTACTCAGTTTAATTTTACGATAGACGAGACATCAAGAATGCGGCTAATAACAGTAAAAATTGATATTATATATCGGGGTATGCTGAAAGCCATTTATCGAACCTAAAATAAGTCAGTCATTTATTTTTTTTTAATTTCAATAAATTTTCAGAAGACTACTTTTATTTTATTTATTATTTATTTATTTATTTATTTATTTATTTTATTTATTTTTTTATTTATTCATTTATTTATTTATTTATTTATTCATTCATTTATTTATTTATTTATTTATTTATTTATTTATTTATTTATTTATTCATTTATTTATTTATTTATTTTTTTATTTATTTATTTATATATTTATTTACTTATTTATTTCGGTAACCATCAGTATATAAAGGTAATATTTTATTGTGATAGTTAGAATAGATAAGCGCATTCGTATCAATTTAAATACAGTCAATCCCTATTAAGTACCACCTCGCTTAAGTGTCAATCCGTTCGTTAATACAAAGAAATCATTTTTTTAAGTTCCACTCGTTTATGTGCTACATAACTGTGTGATTCATTAACAAATTTAATTATACATATATACATATGTACCACTTCAAAAACTTTTATATTATATCTCCCGATAAGGCATCGTGAGGAATATATTATTCAATAACATTACTTGTATCGACCGTTGTTCTTCTCTATATGTCAAAACTTTTCAGTATTATTACGAGTCCGAGTCGAGAATTTATCATTCATTTAGTCTTGCCAAAATCTTTATGAACTATCACAAAAGCGAAAAGAAAGAAAATAAGGAATAGAATCGGCCCATTCCCAAAAGCTAAGCATTAGCTGAGAAAATTGTACCATGGCTGGCACTTAAAAAAGATGTGGTATCCGGCTTTTAAAACAAAGTAACAAAAGGCTCATCGATAGGTAAGGGGTAAATAATGGCAAGACAAAAATCCTTCAGGCTTAAGCAAAAGCTTGCTAAAAAAACTGAAGCCAAATCGTTCAGTTCATCAATGGATTTGCTTGCGAACAGAAAACACCATTATCTAAAAGACGTCACTGGAGGCGTACCAAGTAGATGTTGTACGAGTAACCAGTTAGGCTGCAATTACCCATTTTACTTACCAGCCGTCCATAACTAGGCGACGTGAAGGCGAGATACATACACGAGTTATCGACGCTGCTGAGAGCGGCGAAATGTTGCCAGCTGCCGGTGTGTTTGCACACATTTGAACAAATTCATAATTTTCGTCCACGAATTTCATGATATATAATATATGCTTGAATATAAACACAAGACAAATATACATGATCTATATGGTAACAAATAATTAGTTACGCTTTTAGTTTTCATTTGTTTTGAAAAAAACTACGCATTTTCTTCGATTATTTAGTGTTACTTTAAGAAAGACTATACTGGCAACCTTGTATAGCAACGAAAAATGAGCCGAGTTGGTTTTATGGAAAAAATCAAATCTTCGTTGGTTTCTGCGGAACAACCGTCACTAACGGCATGGGCAAGCGGTGACAACTTTGTGTTTACATGGCGCTCTCATAAGATAGGGTTACTATGGACGGCTGGTACGAGAGTTGGGTTGTTGCAGCATAAGTCGCTATATACGAGTATGTTATGTTATGTTATGAGTGTTTTGAGAAAATGAGCAAAAAAATAATAAAATAAAAAATAGAGCTATATAATTTTTTTAATAATTGCAACTTCGATTTTCAGTCAACGATTTATAAAGATGGATTGATCGTACACGCTTGTTGATGATCAGTTAGAAAGCAGTGCCAAATTAGAAAATTTAAACCCAAGAATCTAGCATGAGGATGCGGTGAAAAGTTACGAACAATATTTTCAGAAGCAGAAAAATGTCGGTTCTAGGTATTCCAAATCTTCTTTGAAAACTTTCATAACTGCTGTGCAAATATCAAATTTTGTTCTCGTGAAATGTGAATTTGTAATGTAATGTGCTTAAATTACTTCTTTTTTGTAACATAAATTTAATAAAATAATTTATTAAATTCCAATTTTCGATTTTTTTTTAAATTATACTTCTTTAAGTGAATATTAGAGTTAATGAAAATTTTGATATAAAGAACTTAACTTAACAATTCATGAGCTCGTTATTTCTGAATACTGCTTTAATTTTTAATGCGATTCAACGAAATGGTTATTGAGATGAATTCATATCTTCTAAACAATACTAACTTATGCATTTATACATATGTACAAAAGTTGTAGGCATACATACGAGTATATATTAAATACATAGCTACCTGTGGTATTTGACTTGAGGAAATGTGTCATGTCATGAGCTACCAATTGACCCCATTGTAGAAACGCCATAGTTCGGTAGTCGTCTGGCAAGGAAGACTCACCATATAAAGATAATGATAGTAAACGTGCATTTGGTAGAGATGAACCTGTGACTGACGCTGTAGGAGAGGAAACCCCATCACTGTATTTTGGCGCCAACATTCGCAAGTATCTGTAAAATTTATACGGGAGTGAAAATATATATTTTTTTCGTTTAAAACTTTAAAATACCAAAGATTTGTAACTTTGTATCTAATTATTTAATAATGTACACCCTTCGAGTGTATTTCTGGCATGAAATAAGAGTTCCTCACAGGAATCCATCAACCCTTCAAAGATTTAATATAAACTATAGATCCTTCTATTTGTTGAAAAAACATTAACACGCACGCCAAAAATTGGAGAAGAAGTTTGTACGAACATTGCTTCCGCGGTTACAAAGCGCAGATTATATAATATATGTGTATATAAGGTCAAATATCTCTTCCGCTTTTTTGTCTTTTGAATTTCGCGGCTATGTACAAAGCGCTACAGAGCTCGTATCTGGCAACACTATACATAATTTGAAAGGTTTAACATAACCTACAAAACAACGCTATGCATGATTAGTTTGGATATTGCGTTCAACAGTTATAGACGTGTGAGCATGGAGTTCACTAACGCCGAAATTCGCGCTATTTTAAAGTTTTTCTTCGATAAAGGCAAATCCGATAGAGAAACGTTCCGTGAGATTAATGGTGTTTTGGGGGATGGTACTCTATCACTTCAAACCGCGGAGGAATGGTTTCGATGATTCAGAGCCGGTGAAAACGACACCATGGATAAGCCAGCCGGCGTAAGACCTTTGACGACAAATACCAATAAAATCATGGAATACATCGAGTTAGACCGGCATATGGCATATGGCATCTCGTGACATCGCCCAGGAGATGGGAGTTAGTCACCAAACCATTTTGAACCATCTGCAGAAGGCTGGATACAAAAAAAAGTTTGATGTTTGGGTGCCGCATAATTTGACGCAAAAAAACCTTCTGGACCGAATCAACGCCTGCGATATGCTGCTGAAACGGAACGAACTCGACCCATTCTTGAAGCGGATGGTGACTGGCGACGAAAAATGGATCACATACGACAATATCAAGCGAAAACGGTCGTGGTCGAAGGCCGGTGAATCGTCCCAAACAGTGGCCAAGCCGGGATTGACGGCCAGGAAGGTTTTGCTGTGTGTTTGGTGGGATTGGAAGGGAATCATCCACTATGAGCTGCTCCCATATGGCCAGACGCTTAATTCTACCATCTACTGCGAACAACTGGACCGCTTGAAGCAGGCGATCGACCAGAAGCGTCCAGAATTGGCCAACAGGAAGGGTGTAGTGTTCCACCAGGACAACGCCAGACCACACACTTCGTTGATGACTCGTCAGAAGCTACGGGAGCTCGGATGGGAGGTTTTATCGCATCCACCATATAGCCCGGACGTAGCGCCAAGTGATTACCACCTGTTCCTGTCCATGGCGAATGCCCTTGGTGGTGTGAAGTTGAACTCAAAAGAGGCTTGTGAAAAGTGGCTGTCCGAATTCTTCGCAAATAAGGAGGGGGGCTTCTACGAGGAAGGTATTATGAAGTTGCCGTCTAGATGGAAACAGATCATCGAACAAAACGGCGCATATTTTAACTAAATCCGATCACTGTAACACTTTTTATAAAGCATTGAATGAAGAGCAAAAAAGCGGAAGGGAGATATTTGACAACCTTATATATACATATAATTGGCGCTTTGTAACCGCTGAAGCTATTTTCGGCCGAGCTCCTCCTCCAATTTGTCGTTTTGCGTCTTAATGTTTTTCCAACAAATGGAATGCTAATAATTATTGTAAATATAATATTAGCGCAAGCAATTCCAAAAATCAGGTTCTCGCATACATCAAACAATATTTATATCAGTGCTGTCCAAACTTTTTTTGGCGTGCCCACAGAAGTGGCCAACAGGTCCATTCAATGGCCACTTTTTCCAAAACCTAAGAAAAACAGTGAAAACATTGCATTGCGGTATTTATTTTTACGTCGCACGAGACTTGAGAATGATGCTTCACAAACGCATGTGGAACTAATGCATGCATAAAAACTTTGGTACAATGTCTTTGTGTGCCGAGAAATTACATTCAAATAACAAAATCCTCCACAATGTGTCGCCCATTTCATTTGGAAAGCCACTTTCTCCATTTATCAGCGAAATATAGAATTCCAAATGAGGTTTCTTTTTTCCGAAAAGATCTGACAATATTTGAATATTATTTTGGTCAAAAACAAGTGGGTTTTTGAGAAATTTGAATGCCAACTGAAACTTTTGGAAATCTTCAAATCGTGAATCGAACGCGTTAATCAAAATATCCATATATTAAATGAAAATGTTCGTATCGTAACCTAGCTCAAATTCCTCATTATATTGATTTGGGTCTAACACTAGGCAGAAAAGAAAATCATTTTCGCTAATTTGGTTTTCAAATCGCTTCAATTTACATTTTCAACGGTTTTCGGAAAAGAATTAGAATAATTTTTTGAAAAATATTAAAGCCTTCTCGTTGGCCACTGAAATTTGTCGCTTGGCCAAAAATGGCTAAGTGGCTACTAATAGTTTGGACAGCACTGATTTATATTAACTTTGGGCCAAAGTATGCATGTAGGTACCAGAAAACGAAGAAAGAAACCAACCTAAATTTATACCGATCGGAACAGAATGACAATTTGAGTGGATTTAGCAATGTCCGTCTGTTGAATCGCAAGCTATTATCATGTTTTTTAAGATATTTCAATCGAAATTGGTACACAAATGTACTTTATGCTGTATTGATCACCTGTCGGAACCGGACAGATCGCACCATATCAACGTCTCCTGGTATGTCGACATTTGAATTTTTAAAACTCTTATCGAGCTAGGAATCCTCAAAATGGCATTTAGTTATAAAAAATTAAAAAGTATTTTCCAATAAAAAAAGCTTCAATTCAGCAAAATTTGTTCTGAAGAGATAACCTCAAACGGATATATCTCAATATAATGTATTGTAGATAAGTTTGGTTTTGTAGCGGCCGCGGTAGCCAGGTGATTAACATTGCGTGCTCGGAAGGCCAGGGTTCAAATGATAGTACGACCAATATCCAATAGTTTTAGAAAATTAATTTATTAATTAAAGCGTTTCATAGGCGGCTTAGTATAAACTGCAGCGCCTTCTATTTGTTGGAAAGACAACAAGACGCAAAACCACAAATTGGAGGAGGAGCTCGGCCGAAAATCGCTCCAACCGTTACAAAGCGCCAATCATATAATATTAGATAAATGTATATATATATATAAGTTTTCTACCACTCACTTTATGAACAGTAATACTTGAAGTATTGCGCTGATTTGCGAAGAGAAAAAAAGTTGTGATCCGAATTACAAAAAAGGCAGATTTATTTACAAGAAATTTGAACGCTTCATCTAAACGAAGATCGTAAAATTCGCGCAATTTGGAAACATATAATATTCAAACTCGAATTTTGACTAGTCACGTTGTTCGAATTTATCACGGTAAAACTTTTCTGCTTGATACTTATTACAATATAAATACGTGTATGTACTATGCATGATTTGCTTGTTTCACGTGGAATTATTTTAATTATATACAAATTAATAGACTAATCTGTATAGTATTTTTGCGGTAGTGTACGAGTAGTTATATAGTTTTTTCACAATTCCAGTTCAAATTAGCTAGGTAAAACTAATAAAAATATTTATTTTTTCTCCGATGTTACAGTATGGAAAAGTAAATTTTTCAGAGCTAATTTGCATTGGAAATGTGAAGAAATTTGAAAACATGAGTTGTAAAATATTATATATATGAAAACAAAGGCCGGACTTAAAAAAGTTTCAACGATTTTTTCGTTGTGAGCGTTTAGCCTTCCCAACACTTATAAAATCTTTTCAATTTCGCGACGTAAAATTTGCATAAATTTTTTGCAAAATTAAAAAAGTTTGCAATGATAATAAATAGATTAAATGGATTATCCTTTATTAACATTCTATCAAATTTTCATAATTTTTCATTGCACGTTGTGAATAAACAAATTAGCTTTCAGTGGAAATATTTATTTTGTGGCTTTATACCAATAACTGAAATAAATTCATGTACTTAGTTTTAATTCTCCTTCCAACATGAAAATCCATAGGCTCGTTTGAGAAATGTCTACTCTAAATATATACTTTTAATTTTGTTCACTTTTCCACTAGAAAGTAAAAAAAAATTAAAAAAGTAAAAAATCATTTGCAACACCTATAGCAAACGCAACACCCGAAAATTATGGAAAATTAATTTGAATAAAGATTAACTTAATTTTTTTAACGCTGGCCCCTCGGTAGAGAATATTAATCCCTCCGAGTGTATTTCTGACATGAACTAAAGGCTCCTCATAAAAATCCATCAGACGGATCAGAGGCGGCTTAGTATAGACTGTAGGTCCCTCCATTTAATATATTATATTTATATATATATATTACAAATTAAAAGCACATTGTGATGTATTATATCAAGGTAGTAAAAAGAGTATTTTACTTATGTTCGTATACAAAAACACCGCTAATATTTCTATTGCAATCAAAAAGTTTTAATATTAGAAAGCTCAAATATATACGATTATGTTTGCCAAATTACTCATTTCGTGGCAATTAATAATATAGTATCTGCACCAAATGCAGCATATCAAAATATTTTGCATACCTTCATGAACATGAACCGGAATTAACTTCGATACAAAGTATATGAATACCAGAGGGAGAAGGGATAAACCCATCAAAATCCATAAAACCCGATTAGATCAGAATGAAGAGCTTAGTGGATTTTGCCATGTCAATATATTCCACGATTAATTAATAAGAGTTAAGTGGACAAGACACAGTGCAAATGCTGACATGTTCCGTTGATACTTGTATTGTTAATAATAAGTTTTTAGGTCTGCCCGCTTCAGATTAGGCAAACGAGCGAACCGAATTGGTTTTGTAGTGAACGAAGAAAATACTAAAAATCTTGTCATGGCTACCATAACACTGATGACAGTCATAATTTTTAAGTGGTATATAATTTTATTTGTCTATGGACCAGCATTAACACCAATAATAATGATCTTGGGAATCCAACCCAGAATCACTCACGTCAACTACTTTGCTACTTTGGACGAGTAAGAAATCGAAGATTATACCTCCCCCTTGCGGGACACAAACTAAACTCTACATTCCGTTCATTATTCACGCCCTGCTATATTCGTACTTTGCAGAAGCATGAACGATGATGACATCCAGTGAATCGGCATAAAAAGTTTCGTGGGAAAATTTGTGGAAGAAGTATGTTCCTTTGCTCATTGGCAACAGTGAGTACGGCAGACATTCATATGTCGCCTGAATGAATGAAAGCCCTCCAGCTTTGAAAGTATTTGAGGAGTGTCCGCTGGTGGAAGCAGAGGCAGTAGAACCCTCCACTCTGTTGAAGGGGTAAGGTGGAAAGCCACCTGGTTTCAATTGTTGTATTGAATTGTCGATAAAAGAGCAAAAGTGTTTTCAAGTTATGAAACTTTAAAAGAGAGAACAAAGAGAGTAGTTTTACTCAAAAGGCAATCTCAAGTCGAAAGGGATCCGTGCTTAAAACTGCGGTTTTACTCAAAGATAGTATGTATGTTGACTTAACACTTACCTAGAGGTTGCCATTCCATAATCAGGGGTATGGAAATTATTGCAGGATCCATCGAACGTTCGATAGTAAAAATTTTTTGGATCGCTTGCACAATCCGAAGGCGGTGTAATGCACTGAAATGACTCCTTCAATTTTGAGCTGAGTAGTATTTCGTTCATGGTGGGGACGAGCGTACTGTAGAATCGGTTATCGTTATACTTCTTGTCATCTCCTGCAGAGTATCTTGATCCAACGTCTGCAAATGCAGCTGCTGCCGATGAGGACACATATGTGGCAAGTTCCCCCTCATTTCGTTCATGAATTCTGAAGGGGCTGAAAGATAAAAGTTATACGATTAAGACTTCTTCGAACAGTGTTTTCATGAATATCTATACACAAATATGTATGTATATGGGTATGTATACGATGCTTATGCTTATACAAGTACATTACCATTTACTTCCCAAGTTAGCAACGCTTCCATTTATATTCAACAGTAAAAAACAGTAAAAGAGCAGTAAAAGAATAATTTCTGGACAGCCCATAGCTACGTATGATTTCACGATAAAATGCCAATGCAAAATGCTCGAAATGGGTTTGGGTCGCAATTTATATTGATGCACCGATTATGAATTCGGAACTCTTTACGCGTCTTCTGGCTTAAATCTACATCGTACGCATGACATACATTCGTACATATGTAACTCTACGTAAGTATAACTCTCATGCTCTACATTGTGATGCGATCTATTCGGATTTAGCACGTACATTTCTCCGGAAATATTAAATTGTACCTCTGATAATAAAAAAATATGTTGATTAAGATAAGAAATGTCAATTTATAAAAAGAATAGCGGTATTTTAGATTTAATGCTGACATTTTAAACATTTTATTGAAACGAAATGCCGCCGTTAGGGTTAAGCCGTTAACTAACATTATATGTTACGTTTAAATTAACGTTTGCTGTGAATAGTCAGTGAGCTGGTGGACAGTAACAATTGTTTTGTTTTTTTTTAGCTTAGAGGCTATCAAAATCATGAAAAATTGATTGGCTTTGAAACAAAACGAAATTCGTGAAAATCGTCCAAAACCAGTTGGCGTTTCGGAAACTATATAACATTTTCCAGCAGTGCCCTAATTAATATTTTTTTAATTTAAACATCCAAAATTTGTAGTGCTGGTACTTAGGCTTCTTAACGATCAACTGTTCAAGGTTCTATTTTTTTGGCTTTGTTTCCAGCCCAGAAAAAATAATCGAGGAACAGATTATTTGCAACTTGTGAGAGTTACTTGTGTGCGCAAATTGATATTGCAAGATCGTTATGTCACCTAACGTTAGAGACAGACAACTGGAGGCTTTAGTGGGACCGGCATATATTCAATATTGTAACGGAGTTTTCCACTTGGCTGGGGTAAGCTCAGGCTTGCCAAACAAATTTATTATTCTCATTAATCGTAATAAGAATATAAACAATAACTACTTCTTGTAAGAGCTGTGGAGGTGAAAACCCCGTACTAGCCACCTTTCCAGTGAGATGAAAACCCTTAGAGACACTACGTTTGCCGGTGGCGTTGATCCCATGGGCAAGTATACCTGTCAACGACACCAAGGCTACTTAATTCCCTTTGCATTTTTCTCGCCTTCTATACTATTCTGCGCGCAGGCAGAATATTACTTTATAATAACTACTAAGCACAGTAAGCGCTTACTCTGTGTGTACGTATATATGTGCATGTGCAAATAAATTCATGTCCTTACAGAAAATTTTGATGTGTGGTTGTTTAAAGCTGAGCCGAATCCAACAAAAGTTGATCATGCAATAAAATCTGAGTGGTACCCAACAATTTGCATATCAATTGTCTTTCAGGAAGTCAGAAAAATATGTTTAACATGCGTATTCTGTCGAGGTAACAAAATTTACCCAGGTATTATTTACCATTCAGTAAATTTTGTTACCATTTCGTATTCTGAGCTCACAGTTACCCTGCAAATTTTGTTACCAGCGAAATAGGAGGTAACAAAAATATCTGCTCTAGATGTCTTTGTGTTGTAAGTTTGAGAAAAAATAAAAACCAAAATGAGTAGGCATATTTTAGGCCTGAATTCATTGAAGATGAAGAAAAAAGTGCAAAAAGCCGTATTTTAAGAAGTTTTCGAAACTAAAGAATAACACTTTAACTTGTAAGATAACGTTTTCATTCAGCTTTTTTTTTTTTGTTGTCCAGGCATATTTTCCAAAATTAGGTTCAATTATTTATAAGTTAATAAACACATGAATAAAACTTATTTATTTTGAAGTACACCGTCTTCGATTTCGCAGGAATACCAAATTCAAATTTCGGGTGTTAAAGAAAAGTAAAAAAAATTTACTTTACTGGTAACAGTGAGAATAGGCCTGTAAAACCCACATTTTTTGTAACACTTTCCAATAGTGCCACTTCGTTGAAAAAGTTACCGTTTGAGATTTTTGAGGTATTGTTTGCTTACAAAACAGAACGCAAATGAATATTTTTGATAATCGATATACGCAGTTATTTGCAATTTGTATCGTATAATATTATCAGTGCATTCTTGAAAGCTCAAAACATCCATTTGATAACTCATCTACCGCATAGTGCCATCTTGGCACGGAATGATTGCTTTTTATTCCCGCATTTAAAAAATAAACTGAGATGTCAGCGCCGGAAGAGGCGGTTTAGATCCTATGTTTTGGAAATACCTCTGTCAGAATGGCAAAGGTGATTCGACAAATGGTTCATACGCATTATCTGCCAATTTGGATTGGTTAGACATGATTTTGATTGCTCTTCGATTTTTGACTTTTTCACATTGGAGCATCTGGTCGCTTCCATTGGGATGACTGATACTTGGTTTCGACGTCATACCATATGCTTACTTTTTGCCGCCAATTATTCTCATTACTGGCGAGCTTAGAACATCGATAACGTCATTCAATTCAAATATCAAAAATCGATGACCACACAAAAACGTGGCTAACCCTTGTAGTTGTCTACAACCACTATTAATCCAAATTACCTGATAATGCCAACATATGACAAGAATACATACATTTGTATGTTGTGTACCAACATAAAAAAATCGAATGTACACAGCTCGTGAATATTCAAAATACATACAAGTACATAAGTACTTTTAAATATTAACCATTTTTTCATAGTGTCATGACACTATAAACAGAAATAATGTTTAAATTACTGGGTGGAGTCTTAACTTATCTGAATTTGGCCGTATCAAAAATACTTACTTCGTTTTAAACGCCCAAACTATAGTAATTCACAGTACATAACATAGGCGGGTTGTATTTTTCATATGACCAAATTCTCTTTAACTCACCTCACGTGGAGTCGATTCATGGGTTTGAGCCAAAGCTTTATCTCCAACCTTGTCAATTAGTCTGGCTACACCACGAGACACGAAAACCATTTATGACCAGGGAATTTACTTGGTCAAGAGAGAACAATAGTTGAGCTCGTCCGTGCGGTAGTGGGATAAATTTAGCAACTCTAATGTGAAGAGTTGCGTCGTATCCCTTTTCGGACGCACGTGAAACTCAATGAACTCTGATGTTGAGAAGAGGTTCACCTTGGAATTTCTATTACACGAGTATTTAGCACCACATATTTCTTAATAAATAATTTCCATGGGTGTACAGTCAAGAGTTTTAGAATTTCATCCCATTCTGATTTGTCAAGCTATATCTGATGCATGATTATCTTTGTCTGACAGTTGTGGATGAGAAATTCATAATGCATCGTTCTTTGAATTCCATCCAATGTCTTGATAAAACTTTTGCTCATTGGAAGTACATTTGCGCAAAGTAAATTCTTCGGATTTCAGAGATTTTACGAGTTCGTTTCTAACCAACTTCGCATTTGATATGTCATGGGCTTCGGTGACAACATCCGATATACATTCCATTAGGAGGCAGAGGTTCCTTACATCGTCCGCTAATAGGGGAAATATTCGTACTAAAAGTATTGTATTGATTCATCATATGAAATTTGCTTTTGGATTCATCGTGTATTTCGATAAATTCTGTGTTGAAACGGATCGAAATAAATATCCTTTGTCATTAGGATTACCCAGTCTGCATACAGAAAAGGTCCAGCAGAAAACTTATAACAACGAGAAAGTGCAATTTCATTCAGACTGAAAAATTTCGGGAAAAGTAAAGTTAGCAGGGATGCAATTATTTTCTTTAAGTTAAAAGTTTTTAGCAGACTTAATTTAGATAACTGGTATTTTTAATTCTTTCTCCTATGTTGCTTCAAAAATAAAAAATGTATTAACTAAAAAATATTAAAATATAATACTTTTAACAAGAATATTTATTTTATTAGAATATTCTAAAATGTTTCCTTTAAGTGACTGAAGTATAAATTATAATTGCATTTATTCCTTCTTAGTTCATATTTTAAAAAAAAAATGGTTGGTTTCTTTATATTAAAATATAAAAATCAAGTCAAATTTCCCAAAAATTATATTGGCCTTCTTTTGTGAAGGCGTTTAATTATTAAGATAATAATTTTAAATACATTTATTCACTTCAAATTTTTTCCTACTGGGTATTTTGTTTTCAATTACCACGCGTTAACAAAATATGCTGACGACTTCTTGAGTATTACAATATGTACATATGTATATGTATACATACAAATAAGTATTGTACATAAATTTGTTGGCTGCCGTGTATGTATTATTTATAAATATGCGAAGAAGTTAAAAGAAATTTAGAACAATAATACGCTTTGTTGTTTAATATTATTACGATTATTACTGACAATTTTTTTCCATATAACTTTACTAAATAATAATGATCTGAGGTCTTTTTATTGCAGTGGGGAATTTTAAAAAAATAATTGTGTTTGTTGGTGCACAAAAATTTCGCTTTAGCAGATTGCGTGGGCTTTTAATCAGTTATTTCAGGCGGGTCAAATAAACGGGAAAAAATTGGGATAAAAAAGAGCATATTTTTTACAAAAACTTTTCTTCCAATGGCAAATACAAAGAACGAGAATAAAAGACTTTTTCGAAGCAGTGGCAGTTCTGGATTTTCCACTGATTTATCGCTGAATCAGGAAAAAGTGCATAGGAGAAGCAATGTGTCCTGAAGAGCCTCTTTATTTTAAGAAGAGATAATTTACCTAACAAAACCATTATTTGAACTCATCTTCTGTATTATTTGAGCACGTATATTTGTCGCATGCAGTCTCCAAATATTTTGGAGACTGAACCATCTGAATCCAATAAAAGGAAATAGGCGAACATTTTTCTTACAAATGCAATAATCGAAATTGTGTTGGTGCCATAGATTGAAAACAGATTGCCATAAATTGTCCACGTAGAGCTGGATCCAGCTTCTTCAACAACATAAAAAAAATTATTCATTTCTATATTTTCAAAAACATTTAGAATTAAAAAATAAAAATAAATACTTATTGATTAATTAATTGAGATAAAATTTTGAAATTTCAGAAAAAATACTGCGTTTTATTAGTTTTAAGGCTCATTGTGTAAACTTTTAATATTTCTTC